CCAGGTGAATAAAACAGATTAAAACACTAAATGAAGCAGTTTTACGTAACAAATCAGTGTTTTTCCGACACTATTTGGCATGTTGTAGACAAGCCATGCACAATGTTTGAATCTAAATTTGTATCCTCACATGAAACTCATGAATAAACTTATTCTCACTTTACTTTTATGATTAGAAACCAAAGTTTGTACATCTTAGACAAACATCCTGTTTGTGCTCTGCCATTACATTTGGCATTTTATTCTCTAATTCCAGAGCAATTTAGTTTTGTTCTATAACGTCACACGCTCACTCAGCTCAAAATGAATGCACACCGTTATGATAATAAGAAGCTATATCTATGCAAGACATACTCAGTCATGTAATTTCATGAAATGGCTCCAGGTGGGTTAGTGCGGGTGCAGATGTTGCTGTTTCCCCCTCAGAGCAACTCATAGATCTTTATAATGGAAATGTGTCTAACAAACACCAAGCGCATCTTATTGGATGACACTCAGAGAGCTGGTGAGTGGGGGAAACTCTCCAGAGGGAGTGTTTGTGATCCCAGAGGAACAGAGCCTCTGAAGCTTCTTTTCATTAAGAGCTGGGTTGCACTTGTGTTCCCTCCAGTGTTTCAGAATGCGATGGAACTAATCTGAATCCAGGACAAGTGTGCATGCGTTATGCCTATCAATAAGAGGGATGATTTCATTATAGCCGTGTCTACAACCTGTTGTGTTGTCCTCTGTGTGATATTGTTTCTTCTAAAACCAAAGGAAAGTCTTAAATAGCATGGGAAAATAAAGTGCAAAACATATACAAAATTTCGAGTAATTTTGGAAAGGGAGAGGCATCGTGATGTCATACCTCTTTTTCTACTATTGTCTCGTTTCTGGCTGCATTTGCTTCTCGCTTCTTTATAAAACTCACACACACAAACACACACACACTTCTGTCATTCCTTCTGACATCATATTGTGTCTTAAACATCCTTGTCACTAAACTAAACCATGTTGTCTTAAACGCCCATGATATCAATATCTCGTCCATCTGTGATATCTTTTGAGATATTTTTTTAGAATGGCTGTGTAAAATCAAATTGTTATGTTTCTTTCCAAGTCTGCAGCATAATTAAAGTCTAACTATAAACTCTACTCTTAATTAATTAACATAAACTAATCTTGTCCAACATGCAAGCACATCTCATGCCTAAATAATAAAGATAAAAAAAAACAAGATGCCATATGAAAACAGAGAATGTATGATGCTAAAGGGTGTAGGTGAATTTAAAGTAAGGAGATAGATAGCCTACTGTACTTCAGTAGTAGCAATCAGGGCTGCAGTGAATAGATTGGAACTTTGAAACTTCATTCATAACATTGACATTTGTGACAAAATACGATGACAGACAGTGGAAGCTTCAACTGAAAACCTCAAAAGAAGCTTCAAATGTAAAAAATTTTATTCAGTACAAACCTTGTAGAAAATTAGAAGCGTATGTGATGGTAAAATGTTGTCACACATCGACAAATATTAGAGGTACTTTTGTCAGCAGCTTCAGAAAATAAATTTGCTGTTATGTTACATCACGTGGAAGGTTATCCACAGAAGATTACTGTGACAGTTTCATTACACACAACATAATTCCTACATGTTGGTGCAGTGGCAAGCATTGCTGCCTTGCAGCAAGAGGGTTCCTGGTTTGAACTCCAGGGTGGGGGAGCCCTTCTGTTCCGTGCTTGCATGTTCTCCCTGTGTCAGCGTGGGTTTTCTCTGGGTACTCCAGCTTCCTCCCACAGTCCAAAGACATGCAGGTTAATTGGTGACACTAAATTGGCTGTAGGTGTGAATGTGAGTGTGAATGGTTGTCTGTCTCTATGTGTCAGCCCTGTGATAGTCTGGTGACCTGTCCAGGGTGTACCCTGCCTCTCGCTCAATGTCAGCTGGGGCTCCAGCCCCCCCACGAGCCTTAACAGGATAAGCGGTTACAGAAAATGAATGAATGAACAACAAAATTCCATGACCTTTCCAAAACTTTCAATGATTTTTATTAATTCTATGACTTTTCCAGGCCTGTGATGTGATTGTGGAATTCACTGACTTTCCCAGGTTTTTCATTACTGTGGGAACTCTGATTAAAGAAAGTTGATTTCAATCCATTTTTTATTAATTTTTTAGGATGATGGTGTCTCCAGGATCCAATTTAAAACCTCGATAGAGGCTTCAAATGTAAAATATGGCATTCAGTACAAGCCTTGTAGCGATACCACATAAGACATTTTGTCAGGAGTCACACACTGTTACTGTTTGCTGTCAGAGTTAATGAAAATGGATGCTGTCCGCTGCTCTGACCTTTACATTCAGGAACACTTAAGTTCACCAGCAGCATGGGATAAAAATGAATGATACTTTGATTTATCCCCATTCACACAAGATAATCTGTTTTATAGAATGACTTAGGTAAAGTTATGATCTCAGATTTATTGTGCGGACTCCCTCACACTATGAAAGTATAACATGTTATAAATATGGACTGTGTGATGCTGACTGGAGACTCAGACTACAAAACAGCAGTGGATGTTTTGAACTTTTCTGGCCCGTCTTGCCACTTTGACCCTTTGGCATTCCTGTCATCTCGACACACTCCACCGCCACTGGACATTTCCAATTCTTCCAAACACAAGTGTTCTATATTCATCTCCATACAGTGCTTCAAAGCTATATCAAGGGATGCTTCCCTTCAGACAACGATCAAACACGGCACTCCTTCTCTCTCTACAGCTTTTGTCAACATACGGTGTATTAGCAGCAATGTCCAAAAACACATTACATTCATATTCTGCAAAATTGGCTGACATAACACAAGAATATTTGTACATTCTTACTGAAGTTGGATTATATGAACATATTCCATTTTTTATATGGCAACAGTTTACTGGCACAAACTAACAGGTTTGTTATCACAGTGCATTCACTGTGGCACAGCCAGAAGGATAATTATCAGACAATCCTGTCCTCTCTCTGTGTCTACTTCCTCCATCCCTCTCCCTACATGACCCTCAAACATCTATCACTCCTTTTCTTTCCCAGAAACAAGACGTTCTTATTTGTTTGTAGTCTAAGATAAATGTCAGTCAAATGCAAATCTGGTTATTCTTGTTTTATTTGACATCAGGAAATGGAGGGATGAGCAGGGCCAGACGGACAGAGGAATCTGTAAATGGCAATAAATGGACGGAGTGCAGAGTTGTTGGGAGGCCAGGACAATCACCGGTGTCCTTAGGGACAACTCATTTAATGAATTTTCTGAGCTTCCCCTCTCTCTGCGCTGCAGTGAAAGATCATTTCATTTAATGCCACCGACTGAAATAGGTGCGTTTTGCCAAAAGGTTACTGTTTTAGTGGGAAAACGTTTCCCGATAAAGGCATTGTGAGTCACTGCCCTTTAAAAATTGACACACACATGAAATGCCTCTTTCATGGAATCACAGACTGAATGGCCGCTGTGTCCTCTGCTTGAATGTCTGTACTACAGGGCATCTTTTACTCCTCGGGCTGGTGGACAGTATGGAGAAAATCAAATATAGCTACTAAGTGGGTAAAGGCAAATAATAGAGCAGCTAGAACAGTGCGGTAAATTCAGAAAATTACATCACTTTGCTGTTATGCAGCCTTTAAAGGTCCAGTGTGTAGGATTTACTTGGATATAGTGGCAGAAATTGAATATAATAAGTATGTCTTCTTTGGTGTATCATCACCTGAAAATATGAATCATTATTTTTTTGTTCCCTGAAAATCAGTCTTATCAGTCTATGGAGATTGCCATGTTGCACTGCCATGTTTCTACAGTAGCCTACACTGGCTCTAGATAGTGCCATTTGCGTTTTTGTATTGTCCACCATAGTTTGCAGCCCCTCTGTGACGATTTTGTCTGGAAAAACATTGATTTTTTTCGACGAGAAACTGCTTTATTCAGCATTTTTACTGCTTTAAATCACTGGGTTTATTTGTTTTGGAAAGGGAAGGGACCCCGACAAATAATTCGTCTCGTCCTGAACATCTGGATCTTAAGTCAGCAGAGAAAATAGGTGAGCACATGTGCTAAACAGCATAGTGAAACACTGATTTATAACATGACACTGCTTTATTCAGTGTTTTTAGTGGTTTTGATCAACTGGTCATTTCAATCAGGAGAGACAGAAGAATGAAGTAAAGATAATATTTAATAGGAAATATGAATGATAACAGATGATTTGTGCTGATTAAGATTTAACAGAAGTCTTTGGCGTTTGACACCAGAGGGAGATATTTTGTGATTGAGGGAAATCTGTGCGGCAGCAAGATAAATCTGCCCAATGGAGTCCAGACTCTGGTGGTGGTGGTGGTGGCTGATGACTCAGAGGCTGCTGACTGCTGAGGCAGACGAGGATGATGAATTTGTAAAGACTGGGTGATGATGGGGAGGTGGAGAGCATGCAAGACGTCAGCAAGAAAGAACTACGGCAGAGAAAGAGCCATATTTAAAATGAGGAGCAGTAAGATGATAGACTGACAGAGATGATGTGCTATTGGCTGATTGTGAAGCAGCTGATGACTCAACTGACAGACCCAGACGATGACACCTAGAGACAGCGAGTGAGCATGCAAGGAGTGACTGGCAGGGTGAGAAAGAAATGTACAGCTTGAGCATGAAAAGTTTTGTCTTTTTGACTGAACTTTTGTTCTGGAGAGGAAGAGACCTTTGCGGATAATTCATCTCCTCAAACCTCCTCAACAGTGAACACTGAAGGAATCCTAACTGGGAGAAAATTCAACTGGTTACCTAATACATTCTTTAAACCCAGAAAAAACATTTAAGCCATATGACGATACTATGATATCCAAAATCTATGTAGTCTAATATCACACAATAGATGTAATATCAATATATTGCCCAACTCTATTTCCTTTCTTTCTTTCTTTCTTTCTTTCTTTCTTTCTTTCTTTCTTTCTTTCTTCCTTCCTTCTCTCCTGCCTCTAGGCTTTGTCGAGCCTGCACCCTGAATGTGAGTACATATATCAGCTGGAGAAAGAGGAGCGTCACTGCCTTCAGTACATTGCAGAGCAGGGCAACAGAAGCACAGAAGGTGTGTTTTCCATTTTAAAATCCGCCTGCAGCTCATATAAATTCTGGCGTGGCTGCAGTTGTTACATGAAATATACTGCAAATGTTCACATTAAGTACAAGAGTCTACGCTGGAACAAATGCCTCACAGAGAATCATCAGTTGTCAGGGACGATTCTCGATGGCGTCCCAACTGTAAAATGAAAATGCACTGGGTGATCTATCACTGTGATGCATCTGAAGAAGAGACCATTAAGGATAGTTACATAAGGATTTATGTATGTAATCTATCTCAAGATAAAGGTCTTGGCTGGGGATCTACAGTACTTCCTCATTCTTGTCTTAATACAATTTACACAGAGGCGGATGTTATGGCTTTGAAGAATGTCGTTGGGGGTATTATGCATGATACACCCCATTTACTTCTACAGTATCTCCATGAGTATACATTTAAACTGTGTGCATTTCAGGTGGCTGTGTGTGACAGTGTGTATTAATGTGTGTTCACGGACTCTCTCTTCTGATTAACTGCTTTAATATAGACACACTTTTTGGTTTTTTTACCTTCTCTCTTCTCACTTTCCAAAAAGGTTGTCGGCCATTCTGGGATGCGGTCGCCTGCTGGCCTCATGCAGCCGTTGGGGAGACAGTCCAGAGAGCTTGTCCTGCTGTCCTCTCCCTCTTCAGAAACAACACAGGTGACTAAAAGGATCACATGGTGACAGAGGGGGTGGAGAGGGTGTTCAGGCTGACATAACAATGAGGGCAGTGTGTCTGCCAGTTAGTCAGAAAGTTAAATTCTGGCTCTAATGAAAGTAAAGTGTGTATTTGAGCTCATATTTATTTGTTAAGTCATTCATTTGATATTTAAGAAATGTTTTGTGAATTAGAGTCAGTGCTCAGGCTTGCTTGATTGTCACAGGAGACTGAAAACAAATTAGTTTTTTTCTGTACAAGTAAATTAGCAGGTTTAGGAGTGTACGCATTGTGAATACATACACATGTTTTACAAAATGGTGAGGACACACCATAAGAGTAAACAGCTATGCTAGTAGCCCTGTGACGCTGCACTGAGCCCGTTTAGATCCCCCGTCCATTCTAATCGGCCTAACTTTTCTAGGATATCTAGATCTATGATTACTGTCACCTAACTCCACCCAAATGCACACACTTATTTAAGTGGATGACTATAAGCCATTCCACATCATCTGAAATGGACTGCGATAGAGCCACACCCCCTTTTTTTGACAAGCATGGCCGACCATGAGGCAAGGAGGAATCGCAAGGCACGTTTCAGTCTATTAATCATATTGTGAAAGTACATAATTTCCTTTAAAACTGTTTAAAGTAAACCTGAGATATTATATGACTTAAATATGTCAATTTATCATGTGAAAGTTTTATAGCTTTTACTTGGGATTTAAAAAAATGTGCGGCCATTGGAATGAACGGGAGATCTGATAAATAGGGAAATAAGGCTCTGATTTGACTTCCTAATGATACGGTTAGCTAATGTCTCCTATTGGCGGCTGTGGCTCAGAGGTAGAGCGGGTCGTCCACCAATCGTTCAATCCCCGGCTCCTCCAGTCTGTATCCTCAAGTATCCTTGAGCAAGATACTGAACCCCAAATTGCTCCCAATGATGCTTCCATCAGTGTGTGAGTGTGTTAAAACTGAGTGGCAGGTGGCACCATGTATGGTAGCCTCAGCCACCAGTGTATGAATGTGTGTATGAATGTGTGTGTGAATGGGTGAATGTGACTCGTAGTGTAAAAAGTGCTTTGAGTGGTCGGATGACTAGAAAGGCTATACAAATGCATGATAACAAATACAACCCAAAATATATATGCAATGTGTTTTGAAGCATCACTTGATATAAGTAAACTATTAATGGAAAATAAAAAAACAACAACTCTGTTTTTCGATGAAAAAAGGTCTGTAAGACCATTTATTGACATTTTTTACTGTTAGGTGGTTTCTTGTGTTCAGATTATTCATCCATTGAACTGGACAGGATAAGAAATATATAATAATGTACTTAAATTAAAAAAATGTTTTAGCTAATGATTTATGAGTGGATATAGAGTAGAAATACACCATTACACTTTTTTGTGAGTGTGTGTGTGTGTGTTAGGAACATATTTATATCCTGAATGGGTTAGGCACAGTGGTGCTTGGGCTAAATGCTAGTGCTGCAGTCATGTTATATTGGATGGATGGTAGAGATGGGACAGATTCCCATGTTAAAAGCAGACAGGTGTTCACTGTTATCTGACAGCGCAGTGAGGTTGTATTGTTTTAAACACCGTGCGTTGACAAAATACAATCTATGCTTTAAATCTGGATTTACATAAGAAACAGAAAAATTTCCCCTTCTAGTGTGTCTGAGTGGTAACAGTGTTACGCTTCCGTTTACCTCAGAGCCAACAACTACCACAGTTTCCACAGCTACTTCAGTTGCTTCACTGTCCACCATTTCTGTCACTGGGAATAGTAAATGCACAAATCTTACACTGGTACTCTTTGATAACTTGGGGTAGCTACCAATATCTACTGGGTAAAGCAAAGGCGCTATCCTCTCCCTGTTTTGGTTGCATAATGGTTGACTAACTTCCTGTGTGCCGTAAATCAAGCCTTAATTTTCCCAGGAGATCGTACCCGGTGGCAAATAGCATTGCACAGTGAAAGCGAGGCTTATAAAGAACCAATCTAAATGCAGATGGTGTCATTATCCTACAGCGATTGTTCGACATTATTTCATGATGATAAGTTAAAACAAAAACTTGTTTTTTTTTCTACTTTAATCACATTAAATGGCCAAAACACTGAACATTTTATGTATTTCTTTTGAAAAGTTTGTGAACCTTATCTGAAGACGACCTTTTCATGGCTGACTTTTTGGTATCTTGACCTTTAACCTCAGGTTCAGTGAGTCGTAACTGCCTCAGTGGAGGTTGGTCCATGCCTTTCCCACCGTACCTCGTCGCCTGCAGCGTGGATGATGACATTCCTGAGGTGAGAGTCTCTGGGGCGAGGCAGATAAAGAGCTCCGGCTGGGGAACGGGAAATTGAGGGTACAGAGGGCCGGACTGGAGGGGAAGCAACAGGAACAAGGTGGCGAGCAACAAAAAAGAACTAATTGAAACAGTGACAAACACAGCTTTGTTTTTTTTCAACTTCAGAAGTCAACAGAGCAAACAAACTGAATTAGAAAGAGAAATGTACTATGTTACAAGAGATTCTAGTGCAGCCTGTCAGACAGTATTGAAGTGATACTGAGTCAGCACACACCTATTTTTGTTTCTTTTGTGGTTTAAATTCAAGTGCCGACTGGCTCGCTGCCTCTTCAGAATAGAGAAGAAAATCTATTCAAACATAAATGTGCCTCATGTGAAAATACTTTTGAGAGGCAGTGAGTGAATCGAATGTCACCCATCAGGTAATAGCTGAAATTACCCTGTTTCACAAAGAGAGGATGGCGCTTAATCGTACCGAGCAGCGTTTTTGGAGGATAATTATGAGAAAAATAGTTCAGGTGCTGTCTTTCTTCTTTAGTTAAAAAAAAATACATTTTAAGTCGTCCAATAGCAGAGGTGGAAAGTCACTAATTACAAGTTTGGATTAAGTAGCTTTTTGGTGCACTTTATAGAGCTGATTATAGTCTGCTTGGTCCAGTCATAATGCCATTAGACTCAGCTACAAAATTTGGAAGAGGCTTTCTTGCAGTCATCTCTTCAGTACAGTTAAGTCCTGCTTTTGTCTGCAATTTGGTCTCATTTTGAGACATTACATTCATTCTGAGGCCTGACAGCATTTATGAAAGGCCTTGATATTGGACTATAATGTCCTTTTATACAAAATCTTCTTTCTCATCTTGCTTTCAGGCAGAGCAGTCGTACTTTGCCACAGTGAAGTTGATCTACACCTTCGGCTACAGCATCTCTCTAGTGGTGCTGGTTGTTGCTGTGTTGATCCTGTTGCTCTTTAGGTAAGAACATGAAAAGAAGTTGTGTTTTTTTCAGTCACCAGTGTGTTTTGGTAAACTCAAGGTTGTTGAATTTACCGCAGGGAGCCAGGCAACAGCGATCACAATATCGTTGTACTGTAAACAAGACACTCTTGGTCCTGAGTCTAATAAAGCTCCTTTAATAATGTCTGGCACTCACCAGTTTGGGGCCTTTCCCAACGTTTTAGGAAATATGCTTGCTTGAGTTAGAAGAGAAGTTTGACACCACTCTCATGTCTCTATGTTAAATATGAAGGAAGAGCCAGCAGGTGATTAGCTTAGCTTAGCATTAGACTGATCAAAGATAAAGGCTGATAAAGACTGAGATGGAGGAAGTAGCAAGTGTGGCATTGCCCAAAGTACAAAAAGTCTGTCAGCCAACGCCTCTGAATTTTTACTAATGTTGTGTTCACACCAAACACAATTTTTGCATTGCGTTACTCAAGCAAGCATGAGCACTAAAATATTTTGTACTGACTCGCATCATACACACTAATAACTCGCATCATATGCCCGTGAAATCGCTGACTCACTGATTGAACTTCTAGCAGTACATCCTCGCTGTTATATGTCCCTGGAGGATCTCAGTACTGATTGGCTATCACGGCACGAATTGGTCATTGAAGTTCAGATTTTTCAGCTCTGGAAAATAAGCATATGACACGAAATTGTGCTGTTTGCTTTATTTGTGCCGCTTAATTCACATATTTCGTATTATGTCCATTGGTGCTGGCTGGTGTTAAATGGTGTCTAATTGTGTCTTTACATTGACTTTACATAAAATTCACGTGTGAATTTTTTTATTTGCGCCTGGTGTGAACATAATGAACATGTTGTATCTCATTTGTTTATGCTGTGACAAAACTGAAATATAAAAATGCTAAATTGCGTTTGCAATACTTAAAGGTCCAGTGTGTAGGATTTAGGGAGATATAGTGGCAGAAATGGAATATCACATAATAAGTCTGTTTTCTTTCTTTATTTTTTCTTTAATTTATACTTATTTTATAGGTGTATAATCACCTGAAAATAAAACTGTTGTATTTTTCCTACCATAGAATGAGCCATTTATATCTACATAGGGTGGGGTCCTTGTACACAGACATTGCCATGTTGCACTACCATGTTTCTACAGTAGCCCAGAATGGTCAAATTAAACACTGGCTCTAGACAGGGCTATTTGTGTTTTCACGTTGGCCACTGTACTCAGCAGCCCCTCCACGACAGGGCATCGGAAAAACACAGATTTTTTTAATGTGAAACTGCTTTATTATGTGTTTTCAGTGGTGTAAATCACCAGGGATGTTTGTTTTGGAGAGGATACCTCTGCGGATAATCTAAAACCTCCTGAATAATGAACACTGAAGGATTCCTAATCGGGAGAAGTTTCAGCTGGTTGCAATAAGCAATCCTCACCACTAGATGTCACTAAATCCTTCAAAATCTTACACACGGTTCCTTTAAGTTCTTGTCCAATACCTTGCAGGCTAATCTTGTTGGCTCTAACTTCATATCTAGCGTACAACCAAAAGAGAGATATCTATCTTCTTTTCTAACTCGCCAAGACAGCAAATAAGCATGTTTCCCAAAATTTCGAACTTTTCTTTGAAAGAGGAAGGATGATCATGTAAAAAGCCATTTTAGACCCACTGACCGTGAAACTGAGTAAAAAGCAAACATAGCTGTGATGAAATCAGTTGTGATGGTGTTATAATGCAAAAAAAAAAAAAACAAAAACATTATTTCCCTCTTATAAACCCATACGTGCTTCTCGTTTGTCTGTGTCGTACCTCTCAGCTGCAATATTTTTCATCTTGGCTTTTGTCCCTCATTGACACGGACCTAACAGGTGCTATAGTCCACTCATAGTCTACTTAGCAACTGACTGACACCATGTCAAGGGTCTCCTTATACAGTGTATGCTACTCAGCTCTGTGGTTCACTGGATTAAAAGAAGTAGGAGCGTGTCCAAACACAAAAGCTCTTGATTAATGGTTTCTTTTTTTTCTTTGCAGCTGGCAACAGAACTATAACTTTAATCTCTCTTTAATTGTCATACGTTTCTTATACTGTACATTTTACATACATTATTTTATTGCAGACTTTAGGTATTTATTTATTTTTTATTTTTTTTGGTCACATTTTTTTTTTTTTTGCCCTAAACTGACATCATACTGTGTCAACTGCCTATTTAAAACCATGGACACCAAGGCATTATACCTGTTAAGACAATGTGGCGTAACAGTGTGTTGTAAAGCAGAACTTATTTTTTACCATCTGGCTGAGTTGTACTAGCTGTGATATAATTTTTTTTTTAAAGATATTTTTTCGGGCATTTTTAAGCCTTTAATTGATAGGACAGATGAGTGTGAAGGGGAGAGAGAGAGAGAGAGGGGGAAGGAATGACATGCAGCAAAGGGCCACAGGCTGGAGTCGAACCCGGGCCGCTGTGGCAACAGCCTTGTACATGGGGCGCCTGCTCTACCACTATGCCACCGACGCCCGCTGTGATATAATTTTTTTCTGGTGTGTTTTGATGGATTTTTCAACAGGAGGCTCCGTTGTGCCAGGAACTTCATTCACATCCAGCTCTTCATCACATTTATCCTGAAAGCTGTAGCAGTTTTCATTAAGGATGCAACTCTCTTCTCCAGTGATGACACCAACCACTGCACCCTTTCCACAGTAAGATAATGACATTGAGGATAAGAGCCTCTTGGTTGTATTAACAAATCCCCGTGGACAGATTTCCCATCGCTCCTGTCGCATAACGACTGTGTGCCTCCTCTCTCATACTAATCACCCCTCACAGCTCACTCCTTCTTTTCCTTCTTGTGTTTTTTCTACCCAGTTTGCCTGTAAGGCCGCTGTAGTCTTCTGTCACTACTGTATAATGTCCAATTTTTTCTGGCTCCTGGTGGAGGCGCTCTACCTCAATTCCCTGCTGCTCTCGTCCTTTTATCACAGCCGTCGGTGCCTCTGGGGCTTCAGCCTGCTGGGATGGGGTGAGAGACCTAGACATGCAATTTCCTTGAAGGTCGATATGCTGAGCTGCAGTGTTAGGCTCCAATATGAGATATTATATATATAAATACAGAATCCTATATGATATCTCACAAAGAGACTAAATTAAGAATTCCAGTATGTTTTTTCTATGGCCTCGGAAAGTTCAATCAATATTTGTGAACATGAGCTACGCTCTCCCGAAGCCAGAAACCAGAGAAGTAAGTCTCAAACTTATAATGTCATGGGGTATAAAGTCTGGAGATGCGCCACAGACAATGGGAACCTGATTTTGTGGACCCACAGAAAACATGTTTCCTTTTTTAAATGCAAATAAGCATTATTATACTGTAGTGTTTTCTGAAACAGAAAATGTCCCCACAGACTCGCAACATTTCCCTGGGTGCTGTCAGTGTCATCCATGACATCTTTCTCAATTCATTGTCTGTGGAGTTGTCTCCAGACTTTATACCATGTTACATCACAAACTTGAGTTTAAGCACTCTAGTTTTTGGATTTGGGAGGGAGTTGGTAATGCTTACTAATATTTTTTGATCTCAGACAATAGGAATAACATGTATGAATTCTGAAAATTGGCGTAGTTCCCTAATAAACATGTAGGTTGTAGATGCAGGTATTAAAAAAATGAGTATACTTCTCATCTGTGTCTTATATGTGTGTTGCCTCAAGGTGACTTAAACCTAAAAATTTGAGGAGGAAAAAAGCAACAAGCCTAAATCAGCAAATATAACAGTTATCAATTTAAATTGCCTGAAAATTTTGTGAGTGCACTCAAGCCCACATTGGTTTGTGTTGGCTGAGGCACTGCCATTTATTCTGTTTATGCAGCCGGTGCATTATGTGCAGAATAAGTTTCTGCTTTTTTGATGTCAGAAAATAGATGTGTTTCTTCTTAATATACCTATAATTTGATGCTGTAGACTGTTATTCTTCTTGGAGTGCAGAAATAGTCACGCTGTGTGATTGGCGCTTTCCAGTATATGACTTGGATTTGGTTTGGAAAGGAACTGTTCGCTATGTGTGCAGTTTTTTTTTTCATATAACAGGTTTCTTATCAATCTACACATGAGTGTATTGAATTAAATGAGGGTCATCACCCCCAGCAGTTCAGTTTAGAGAGTATTATAGATCCAGGACGAAACTGACACAAGGACTGGACTTAAATTATAAGACATAGTTGTTTTGAATTACCGTTGGGAAGAATGAGCATGTAAGAGTCTGTGCATTCTTGATTTAAAGCTCCTTTCACTGTCCACTTTTCTCTTTTTAGAACAAGCTATGTAAAATTACTTTTTACTGATTCACTTGTTTCTCTGACAGTTGTCTCTGGTCTCTGGCTCCTGGGTGTGTACCTTACACCGTGGCAATGCTTAATCGGAATTCACAGATTTGATTGGTTTAATTGCATCGTGTGAGATGATTTACAACACATGCAGTTGGTGTGTGAGCGTGCTTTCACACCTGCCCTGTTTGGTTCAGTTCAATTTAACTCAAGTTTATTTGCCCACTGAGTGCGGTTCGTTTGGGCAGGTGTGAAAAACAGTGATCTCACTTGAGCGCGCACGAAAACAACTGGACCGAGACCTTCTTGAAGAGGTGGTCTCGGTCTGGTTACAAACGAACTCTGGTGCGGTTCGTTTGTGGTGAGAACGTGTTCCGACCTTGATCTGAACCAACTGCAGTCACATGACACATTGTTTGGGTTAAACATGAGCACGTTACAGTCCTGGAGGATTATTAATGTGCGCCTCCTCCTGTACTGCCTTAATATGCACATTCAGCACATCCAATGCATCAAAACATTGTTTTCTAATTGGAGCCGCGCCTTGTTTTCAAACTGTATGGTTTGACTAAAATGAACAATGACAGCAATATAGTCCACGATGAGCAGCGCTAAAATCAACCTGCGTAGTTGTCCCTCCATTGTGATATTAGAAAGTGTCACATTTATCTTGCAAGTGTACTCTTCTTCAACAGGACTTTTCCCGCACGGAAATTCTGACCAATCAAGAGCAGCTTTCTCACACAAGGCATTTTATCCGGTCCGCCTGTAAATGCTGCTGTGAGAACACGAACCAACTCTTGGTCATTATGAAACTTTGTAAAAAAAATTAGTCCCTGATTCAGACCAAAGCAAGACAACTCCAGGTCTGAAAGCACCCTGAGTTTCCTGGGCCGCTAAGCCAGGGCCATAAAGGCTAAAAATGCTGCACTGGTAAAAATAGAATAATCCTCAATAATTTAGCGGTAATAAGTTCAGGTCTGGGTTCGGATAGGACAGTGTCAGGCTCCAGGCCTGGACTGCAGTTCGCCTATTAGTGACCTTGGGAGGGATGGAGAGGAATGGCAGGTTAACAAGGAGGACACATTTTGGTCATTTTGCTAACAAGAGAGTTGACTTCCCCCCTCGTCCCTCTGTCAAATTGCTCGCTGATCATCCCTCTGTGTTATAAAAGTCAGATCAGCAGCGTTACACTTTCAAAGTTTGAAATCTTGACATTTACTTTATGTCTCCACGGGGTCACTCACCAGAGAATTTGGAAGTTTGATCTTTAATTATTTCCAAATGGCATGTATTTTTAGCTTCCAACCATAGGGCCAAAATATATCACATCTACCCCTCTCATCTGCATCATGCCATGGGGCCTAAGACGACTGACTTCAACCCTACTGAGCTGAACAGAGAGATATTTATTGCAGTTCTGTGATTCAAAGAGATTCACAGCTGTCTTTAGGGACAACAAGAAACAGACAGACTGCCATTGGCCAACATCTTCAACTTATTATTTTAATACAGCCAGAAACTCTCCTGGCTCAGTGGCATCGTCTGTAATTACCAAACAAACTGAATTAAAGTTTACATCCCTGTGGCAGTCGCTGCTAATACATTTGATTATGTTTGTGGGTTGATAGTTTCTGCCACTTAACTTACCACAGGTACAATGAGGAATTTGTCCCAGTAGTGGTAAGGCAGGAAATTGATGAGAACATACTGTAGACGTGTCGTGCATAAAGGCTCTTAAATATTCAATTTACTTTGAGTTCTTGCTGAACTGATGAACACAGATATTAGAAAAGTAATCTGCCAACAGTCTAATTATGATTCAGCCAACTCAGTGTGTATTGATTATGTCTTTCTGCCCTTCAACAGGTGTACCTGTGCTCTTCATCATGCTGTGGATTGGATCCAGGCTGTATTTTGAGGACACAGAGTTTGTATAAACATCTAACACTTCCATCTCCACTAGGACAGTTATATCTTATATATATTTACAGCAAATTTCAATGGACAAAATGACCAAAGATGCCTAAAGCATTTTCCTTAAATTGAATGATTTTAACCCTGACTTTTAAACCTATTAAGGGGAGACACTACAGATGTAAAGGGCAGAACTTTTAAGTAATATATAATGAAACTTATGTAGTTGATTACTTACATTAAGACAATTACTTTTTTGTACAAATTATAAGTTTTCTGAAATGTTTTGTTTATATATGCAAATGAGGAATTGTCTAATTAAATAAGCAACTATTTGCATATATTTCCTGAACAGAAATTTTAACGTTGGATGAAGCCAGATTTAAAATTCTTGTTTCATTTTGTTGAAAGGACACTCTCAACAAAAATCTGTGATGAAGGTGTTGTTAGGTTTAGGCACAAAAACTGCTTGGGCATGGGAAAAGAGGATGTTTTTACTTGAAGCACCCATGTTTGGTGGCACAAAACCTGATTGAAAACCAATGATGGGTTGGTGCAAAACACCTAGGTTTGAAGGCTCAAACACCGCTGGGAAATGACACAGTGTGCTACTAAAAACAGCCAGGTTCAGTTCAACAAACACTAGAAAACACCATGAAGGGTTGCCAGAAAATAACTAGTGTTGTTGTTTGTTGGTCTCCAACAGTGGTCTGCAGCTTTGGCAGGCATCTCACTTAGGTGTCCTGCCATCCACCTTCTCCCCACCGCCAGATGACAAATTCAGTTCATTTATCGCGTCACCTTAGAAAAGTTGCTATGACACATGTGGAACAAATTTAGCATATTCATGGCTTGCACAAACGTACAATGCCAACATTTCCCTTCAGCAACTTGGCTTGTATGCATCAGATTACAAATGATATAGGAGCAAACCCCTCTGTAAGAACCTTCAGAATACAGATAGGCATAAAACTGGAAAGTGCAGTGTAAGTAAACACTACAGAAGTGGGGATTTATAGCTCAAAGTAAAATGACAAAAACAGTGGCGTTGGTGGCTTAGTGGTAGAGCAGGCACTCCATGTACAAGGCTGTTGCCGCAGCGGCCCGGGTTCGAGTCCAGCCTGTGGCCCTTTGCTGCATGTCATCCCCTCTCTCTCTCCCCCCTCTCACCTCACTGTCCTGTCAATTAAAGGCAAAAAATATCTTAAAAAGACAAAAACAAAACCTCATTGTGAGCAAAAAGGGGCCTTTAAAGATAGGTCATGTAAAATTTCCCCCCAAAAAGACAATAAAGTTGAATAGGGTTATTTTTTTGGTTTACACATTTTCTTTTTAAAAATATTTTTTTGGCTATTTTGCCTTTATTGGACAGGACAGGTAAGCATGAAGGGGGAGAGAGAGAAAGAGGGGATGACATGCAGCAAAGGGCCACAGGCTGGATTTGAACCCAGGCCACTGCGGCAACAGCCTTGTACATGGGGCGCTCTGCCACTAAGCCACCAGTGCCCCAGTTTACACAGTTTCTAAAATGTTATGTTTTAATATGGAAATAAGCATTTATTTTTATGTATTTACTTATTCAACCCATATTTAACCAGGAGATGAACAATCTCTTTTACAAAGGAGACCTGGCCGAGACAGCAGCACATAAGAAGTTACAGCCAAACAACCACAGATATACAGTAACATGTAGGACACCTACGCACAATGACAAGACCCAGCTGACTCATTCTTGCACTTATGAGAGCTTTAAAGTCAGGCGGAGAGGCTAGTTCATGTTGAAGGTTATTTCAAATAAGAGAAGCAGAGCACATAACAGCTTTCTCTCCCACCTCCATCAATTCATTAGGAACAGACAAGTCCTGAGATTTCAGACTGTAGCTACAGTCAGAGCTCTGTTCAATCAAAGTACAAATGTAAGACGGGAGTTTACCCGGTATGGCTTTGTAAATGAACAAATGCCAGTGACTTAGCCTACGAAATGTTAATGATGGCCAACCAGCCTTGGAATAAAGCCTACAGTGATGAGTGAGGGCTTTACAGTTTGTAGCAAATCTCAGTGCACTATAATATGCAGCATCTAATGTGTAAATAATGTGCAGATGCATTCATGTACAACAAAGCACCATAATCCAGAACCTGTAAAAATGTAGCAGCAACCTTTCAGCCTTCACCTCAGCCTCAGCTTTTTAAGAAGTTTATCAATCTAAAGTTTTAAAGACAGAGAGATATTTGTAACAAGTTATCAAGCAACATTATCTCATCTAATATGTGCATTTCACATAAACTTCCAGATCAGAAATTTGAACTTTAATAAACACCTAAATTGGTATTTTGGATGTTTTCTTTTGACATTATAGAAGCAAACACCCCAAAATTTAAAAACTGACCACTACACTTTTTCACCTGCAGTGTCTCCTAAACAAATTCATACACTCACTCACTTTGTGCTCATTACTATTTGATGCTGTTGATGAGTTGATTGTTATTCTATGGTCAGTTGAAGTCATTGTACATCACATCTCAAAGGAGCCTCTGATGGACTGAAGTGTGCAGTTTCAAAATGTCTTCCTGTGTAGATGTTGGGACATCAACGAGGACTCGCCCTATTGGTGGATCATCAAGGGACCTATTGTTGTGTCCATAGCGGTAAATGCTTTCATTGTACAGAAGATAACAATGACTGCCTGACAGATTACAGATTGTTATGTAGATGATTTGTTTACTTTTTTTGGAGATGGTTTCTCAAAACAACATCTTTTGTGCCCGTTAGAATAGAGTATCAAAAACTGCCCTCACACCAGTTCTAGCCAATTACACACTTGGCCGCCCATATTGTTGCTCCGACATTCAATAATCATCTTGTTATAAGAGGTGTTTAGCCCAGTGCCCGTCAAGACTTCATCCTATTAAGGTTTAATTTCTCATTCTTGCTTTTCCAATCAACAGGTCAACTTCATTCTCCTCATGAACATCATCAGAATTCTGATACAGAAGCTGAATCCCCGGCTGATCCACTTCAATAACTCCTCTCAGTACAGGTAATGCTGTGGCTGCAGTGCGAGTGGCTGAACTCAGCGCTGCTACAGTATCTCTGACTTTAATCATTACGGCATTTATTGCTTTCATCAAATTCAGCTTTCATCTTTTCCTTGCACAATTTGGGATTTTCAAAGTTGTGTCTGTGACTTGTTTATCTTCAACTGTTGAGCTCTTTAAGTCTGATGGACACATTTTCAAAAACTTTTTTCACTCTCTTTGATACTTCTACAGTCTGATAAGTAGATACTTTGATGTAGGCAAAGATTGCATGAAAACTGTGGTTACACCACAGCCGGCGATGTATAATTCATTCAGTCACTAAACTTCAGAATAGTCAGTCTGGCCACGTCTATCTCTCCAGAATTAGTCTTTCTAATTGAAACAGGCTCACTAATTGGCTGAAAGTGTTCAGAGACATCATGCATATCTGGATCTTATAAAAGACATACCGCAAGTCAAGGGATGCTTGACTTACTTGCACCAGGTAGATCGATCCACACATTAAAAAACACTACCTCTGCACTCAGACTCTATCATCCTCCCTTTGAGACACGCACCTGCTGCTACCTCTCCCTCATGTTAAAAAAAAAAAAAGTTGTTTACAGACTGACGCACACAAGCAAGCATCCTCTTGATTGGCATTGGATGATTAGCATGCCTGCATGCGTGATGCCATCCGGAGCAGCATTCAGATTAGACACTGCACTTAATGGCTCCCCGAGGTAGCTTCACCCTCTGCATCTTGTTTCTTTCCTTCTGTGCAACAGACGCCTGACTAAGTCCACCCTCCTCCTCATCCCTTTGTTTGGCACTCACTACATGGTCTTCAATTTTCTGCCCGACTACTTCAATGTTAGCCTGCGCTTCTGTATCGAGCTCTGCATTGGATCCTTCCAGGTACAAACACACACGTGTATAAACACCCAGTATTCTGACAGTGATATATATTGTGCATGCTCAACACACACACACTCCAACCCATACCCAGAATGGTAGCTCTTTAGAGGAGCTTATCTTGTCATAAACCTTTGTTGTTTGTCAGATCAGTGAGCATGGGAGTGCATTCTATCTATCAGCGATGATGGGACTGTAATTAGTTTTTGCATGTATTTAATCATAAAACAATGTATTGGACAAAGTGAAAATTTGACCTGATGATGGCACTATAGGAAAAGTCAGGGGATCACCAAACAGTGACAGTAAGTTCTGGAATTGAAACTAAAACCAAAAGGAAATAAATAAAAGGACACATTCGCACTGAAAAAGGTTCCTCTGAAAAATAAAACACAGGCATCACAGCGTCTGCAGTGATGCGGGTGCTGGGTCGGACCGTCGTGGTGAAGAGAGAGCTGAGCCAGAAGGTAAGGCTTTCGATTTACTGGTCCAGCTACGTCCCAACCCTCACCTATGGTCATGAGCTCTGGGTAATGACTGAAAAAATGAGGTTGTAGATACAAGCGGCTGAAATGAGTTTCCTCAGAAGGGTGGCTGGGCTCAGCCTTAGAGACAGGGTAGGGAGCTCGGACATCCGGAGGGAGCTCGGAGTAGAACTGCTGCTCCTGTGCATCAAAAGGGGTCAGTTGAGGTTGTTCAGGCATCTGATCGGGATCCTCCTGGGTGCCTCCCGTTGGAGGTGTTCTGCACTGGTAGAGGACAGACCCAGAACACACTGCAGGGATTACACATCTCATCTGGCCTGGGAATGTCTCAGGGGCCCCAGGAGGAGCTGGAAAGCATAGCTGGGGAGAGGGACGTCTGGAATGCTTTGCCCGGCCTGCTGCCCCCATGACCTGACTGTGGATAAGGGGTTGAAAATGGATGGATGGATGGATTTAGCATTTTATGTGTTTTTCAATGACAATCTTCAGATTTTTTTTTTCTTCGTGTAACTCTTGAAGAACTTTGGGCCAAGAGGAGTCATTCAGAGTCAGAAGATTGTCATTGAAAAACACTTCAGAAGACAAAAAAAAACAAAAAACAAAGTCATATTTAATGCCTATGTTTTATTTTTCAGTGGAACTTAATTCAGTGTCAGTGTTTCCCTTTTCAATGCCAAACTTTATTTTCAATGCCAAAACTTACTGTCACTGATCTAGCTGCTTAGAAAAGCAGTATGAAAAAAAATTGATTAGTACAAAAAGGCTCTGCAGTGCTGGGTTGCTGGGAGTGTTTGCATCAACTGTAGACATGCAATTACAGAAAAGTCAAAATTGGCTTCCTCCACTTCATGCCATGGCACAGGCTGGTTTGCCGGCTAGCTCTTTAAATTGGATTCTGCTACTGCCTGTCTTCTTGTTGAGAATTTAAATTAATTCAGTGCGAAGTGTTTCAATAGCCATAACAACCCAGAAAGAGGTGAAAGTAGGAAGTTTAATTAGGTTTGTGTGGTATGAAGGTATTATGGTATAGCAGGGTATTTAGAGATCCAGGAAGTATAATTTATTAATACATCTTTTTTTTGTGATTTTTACTTTTTAATTTTGATTTATTATTGTCGTAGGCCTAAAGTGATTCTTTCATTCGCCAACTGAAAAAATATGCAGCTCATCCACCAAGTAAAAAAATGTTTTAAGACTTCCTCAACTGAAATGTGCATCATCTGCCTACGGCCTGGCACCTTTTTGTTTAAATTTAGCCAAATCTTAATAGTGGTGGCTAGTCATGAATCGTAGTCGTAGACTAGCTATAGACTCGAAATCCAAAAAAGAAAAAGTCTCAATGGAAAATAGAGAATTTAACGCTGCATGGACAGATTTTTTGGCTTCAGCAGGCAACTCTGAAAAGTTGAAATACCAAATAATCATACATAGCCCACTGCAGAATAGCTACCTTGTGGTAAAATATGTTAATGAATGTTTCATCAGATCTGTAAGTAATGTTTATAGGCTAGTTTAGTGTTAAAAAACTACACTTCCATTTTCACAGGAAATGTACTGTTTGCATACAGTCGCTTTCAAAATAAACACACTACATCAACAAACTCACGTGGTTACGTTTAGCCAACACACGTATATGGTTGGATTAAGGCAACAAAAGCACGTGGTTGGGTTTAGGATTAGGGTTTGGCTTCACAAAGTATAGTATATATCATATAGTAAGTGAACACCAGCCTCCCGGGTGAAAGTCGGTGGTTGTTGGATCTATCCATCACCCTTCCTGCCCACCCTACTCAGACTTTTGCCCCCTTAACATACATTGTTGTCCGGCTGCGTTTCCCCCTGATGCGGTAAAGCACTGTTACACAATAACGATGGGAAGGCTTTTTTTTGGGTGCCTGACACTGGAAGTCACTTACCAAGCGCCAGTATTTGACAACTTCGGAATGAGACCAGGCTGGGCTCTGTTGACAGTAAAGGTTGTTGACCCCTGTATTAAACTTCTACAGAGATACTGTATTAAGGATGTATTGTAGTGCACAACACACTCCACCAGAGGTCAGTCTCTACCAGTTCACAGGCAGCTGAGCCGAGAAAGATGGCCACTATGAGTGGTGGGGATAATGCTACAGGACTGTAAACAGCCAGTCAGCAATGGCAGAGAGTGACAACAGAGACGAGAGCATGTAGAGAAAGCATATTTTCACATCTAAATTTGTGAATTACGGTTTATTTCGACCAAACCTGGTGATTGTTGGAACAACGAACAGACCAATTAATATGTGTGGGTTTTTTTTCCACACAAATACTATCATATCCTGCATGCCCTGGTGAAATGTAAGGATGTATGAAGGTATGAAAAAGTATATACTGCCCAAGCCTTAGTCTATTTTTTCTACATGTATGAGTAGAAAGATAAAAGCAAAGGCAGCAGAGTTCCTCCTCCTTGAGATTACAAACAGCCTACAATGTATTATTGAGATATAAATCCAACCCGCTCATTATTCACTCTTGTTTGCTGGCTGTGTGACAGAAACATACTATAATAGATTTTTCTAACATATTTTACATCTTGGGCGTGTCAGCTATCGCTTGTCACCTGATATTTATTCATCTTCACATGAGCGACCTTTTAATGGTGTAGACTTGTTCTAGATGTTAATGATTAAAACCATCTCTCTTACAGGGGCTTCTTGTAGCGATCCTCTATTGCTTCCTCAATCAGGAGGTCAGTACATGCCACAGCTCTTTCATGCATTTACTTTAACATCATTCAACAAAGCACACAGATAATTTACAGCTCTCTGTTGCACAATAAACCTGTGTACCCAGATCACACACCAGTGAGGGGTGAACTGTTCAAAGCAAAAGTAATTTGCACCTCTCTTTCCCTCGTTGCATAAGAGAAGGACCCCTTGCACTTATGTAACCGCCAACATTAACATTAGGTCGACCTCACGCAGTCTGTGTTGAATACTCAGTGCACAGGAAACAGTGTTTATCTGTTTGGTGCTTTAGGGTCTCATGACTAATACGTAGAAGTCACTCAATTATCACAGACTAATGGGTGTGTTAATTTATTTTACACCTATATCCTCTTGTAGATTAAAATGATACGGTTTAGATAAATTACAGCTGTCGTTTATCAGTGAATGACGTTCTGATGCCAAGGAAAATGTATGATATCTGATTCCTCATAAATTTGACTGATACCCCCATGACATGATGCAATAAAGGTGACTTTATGTCCCAGAAAATGACGTGTGATGCAGGGGGAACAAGTGATTGAATTTAGTGTTCAAGTTTTACCTGTCAAGACTCAAGTTTTTGTTCCTGTTTTTAAAAGTGTGAAGAAATAGTGGAACATAGTAGGAAATACACATATTTGCTTTGCTGCAGAGAGTGAGAAGATCAACATCACTTCAATGTCTGTCCATTAGATATAAGGCTGCGTTCGTTTAACTAATCTGATGCTCTACACTAAAATGGGAGCGTTGTTGTTCGAAGAAACAGAGCGTTCCATTTCTACATACAGTTAAAATTATTACACATTCACTCAGCTTGGTGCTCTGCTGCTCTGAGAGTGTGGTGTTCTGAATAACACAACAGTGCACTCCAACGGTGCTCCGAAGAGTGTGCTCTGGCACCTTGAGTGAGTGTTTCCGAGCGCACCCTAAGGCCCCGATCACACAGAAAATGTTTTGCAGCTTGCAAGACGTGAGGTGCACCATGCTGCCTTTTTTAAAATTGAATGCCACAAGTAAAAAAACGCTTGCATGCCTTTTGATTGTTGCTAGGCGACCACCCCATCACCTCCTTACCCTAACCTTCCCATGTAATCAATGTACTGTTTATTTTGGCTTGTTAAAACTACCGAATTATCTCACAGTAATTAATAGCTAGTTCCTAAAATGGACAGGCAGAGGGTACTTGCTGTAGGTCTGTCAGAGGGTGAGAGGCTGTCTGTAAATAGTTAGTTGGGCACAGAGAAACGGAGATCTGTGTGGGTACATGGTAACTGCTGTTTGTAAAGTCGTATAGCTCTGGGTATCCAGCAACAGCTACCACCAGTTTCTGTACACTTGTTGTCATGACCACCACAGTAAGCCTGCTTCTCAAATCATCCAATTGGACAATGGGAAACAAGTGGCGATGACGTAGGGGCACTTCGCTGCTCTGAGTTGATTTTTTTTTTTTTTTTTTCATATTGAGGAGTTCTGAGCACTTCAGCAAAAACACCAGGCGCCTAGAGTGCAGAAACGTGAGGCGCGTAGCAACGCAAAAACAGCGAGCAAAAGGCTTCTCATTCTCATTAAACACAAAAAACCTCCAGCTGCTAAAACACTTTCTGTGTGACCGGGGCCTCAGGCTACAGTTAGCAGCCTGTTAGTTTAGCTTGGTATAAAGACGAGAAAGAGGAGGAAAAGCTAGCCTGGCTCTCTCTAAAGGTGACAACATGCACCTACCAGCAACTCTAAAACTCACTAATTAACACAGTAGTGTACAGTATATTTTGTTTGATTAAGTCGTACAAACAGCAAAGTGTATAAAAGACAGTTTGCTATTTTATGGGACTATTTCCTGGCATCCAGCAGTTGCCAGGCAACCAGTGTTGACTCCAAGAAGTGCCGCTCCTGGCCAAGAGATTATCCGACACATAACCATTCGTGCTAAGCTAAGCCAATCTAACCAGCTGCTGGTTGTAGCCTTATATTAAACAGAATGACAGACGACAGCAGGATTGATTTTCTCATCTTACTTCACAATTTCCAAAATGTCAGGCCATTGCTTTCAGTATTTTTTATTATCTTTATTGACAGACTCAAGGTCCAGATATAAAAGACACACACTATAGTATATTATATTGAAGTGTTGTGTGAACATATTAAAGTAATCATCTTGGAGATTTTCATTCAAATAAATTGGTTGGCCCACTTATGAAAAGCCTCATGTCTGCTGTATTTATAACCGGGTGTCTGTGGCAACATTCCCAGAAAAATATCACAAACAGTACACAGTCATTAATAATCCATTCTCACACACACCTAAACATACATACTGGTACACGCACACACACATAACATCCATACTGTGGTAACCCTTTCATCTCGCCAGCTGCAGGGCTCATGAAACAAGCTAATATAAATAAATTCACCAGCCTGGTTTCAAGCCTTAAGTCAGCCAACAAACACACTATAATCACTGCTTATCGCCATGGGTGCCCGCAAAGAGAAGGAAACACAGATCTTCGAGACTGGAAATTTAAATTAGATCATGTTTATTATTTTTTTTGCATAACGATTTAAACTATACAGTGCAGCAACAACATCATCTTTCTACTGTGAAAACAGCCTTATGCTGCATTTTCTGATTGTGTATGTATGTGTTTGGCAGGTCCAGAAAGAGGTCCACATGCAGTGGCTGAGGTGGCAGGAGGGGAGCTATGGTGTGGTGTCACCTGCTGCAAAATGCAGCCAGATGGACACACCCTTCTAGTGGTGGCCCTCACTCTTCTCTTATAGGTCTTCAGCTAATAAGACATTCACCAAGAATTGCTTCTGTGCAGGTCACTGGCTCCAGCGGGTGTTGGCCACATGATCCTGAAATCATTTGACATTTTACACACATTTTAAGACAGAGCCTGTGAATCTCATATGCATTTCCCATAAGACACTGTGGTAACAAATTTATAAAGATCAGCTCCGAGATGTCCTCGTAGCCTCACTGGTCAAATTAAAGAATTGCAAACTTTGCAGAGCTGAGATTTAGCCTAATGATAGAAGAATAATCAATTACCAAGTAAATAGTTTCACCAGATAACCCACAAACTGACAAACTGTCTTGCTCAGTGTTTAATGCAATCACTGATGCTGTAGCAAAACCTGCTGAACATTTGATATCCAGACTTTTTCCTATGGAGCCGACCCACAAATGATTCATCACTCAGCTGAGTAGTTGAAATGGGTCATCATTAGGGACACGCCAATGCAATACTGATGTCTGATATCTGTCCAATACTGATTCAAATAGCTGGATTAGGTATCATGACAATGTGGCCCGTTTTATTAAGTTCAGTTCCATGTGTATCTCGGATTACATGTGCACATACTACGTAATGTCTCAGCAGTGCTGGTAGACCCCATAGTAGAGGGAGCTGACAACAAACACGTCAGCTGTAAGGGTGTGTTTCCTGCTTGCTATGTCACCAAGTTACGGTTACTGGTGTACGATCTATTATTTTAATATTAATAAATTCACAAAATTTAAACCTATGTATTTATTTGTTACATTTTGATTTATAGATTTAGGAACACAATGTTTAAGTCAAGCCTGATGTTGCCTTACATATGAAATATATACTGTAAGAATGATCCCAGTCACTTCAACACAGTGAGGCATACAGCTCATTAATAAAACACTGGTAGCAGTATCTGGACTGAAAACATTGGATTGGTGCATCCCTGGTTATGTTTTATGACTTTCATATTATTCAGTGCTATAATAACATTGTATTACACAATATATTACTCATATTATCTCAGACTGTGGGAGGCATTCTTTGATTTTTATGAGTTGTTCAGCACACTGAGATTTTCCCTAAGTGTGTGTATGCTTTGTTGTGGTCTTTGTATTTATTTAAAAAAGAAATTTGGTGTAATATTATTTATTTATTGTCAGTAAGGATCAAGGTCAAAATCAAATACCTCACTTGCAGCTTAATGAATGAATATCTCAAAGTGTACTCGTGATCAGCTGAGGCATCAGCTACTACAGTCTGTTTGAGTGAAAACCTGGACACCCTTGAACTTTGATGGCACAACGTTGAGAGCCACTTCACTGTGTACTTGTACTTGCGTGTTGTGTGTTGTCATGTCATGTGGTCGCTTCCACCAATATGAAAGAAAACCTCCACTGCCATCTGCAAGTCAGCAAAGGACTAAAAAACACAAACAGAAATAATTCTTAATTATTTGATATCAATATATATGATGCTTACTTATTGTACAGTGTTTTGACATGCATGGTTAAAAAGGACTGATAAAACTACAACTCCCATAATCACCAAATTTGCATTAGATCTCTTTTTGTTAGAAATTTAGACTGTTGGTGTAATTTTTGTGTTGTAAACTGATGTAAATATTTCCATCAAGATAAAAGATCATGCAAAATATTGAATCACTGCCCAGTTCTGCACCGTCCACAATCCCCTTGTTACAATATATATTTTTTTTTGTAAATGAAACATTTGCCTTAAACTAAATGTTTAAACTAGTCTCTATTGTTTCACAGTCACTTCTATCTGTTGTTGCATTAGATGTTGCTGCTTTCCTTGTGCCTCTGTGGTGTTTTAATGCCTTGGTCTTGCAAGTTAAAGCATAAAAATGTTTACTGTGGCTCTCTGCAACCTCTCTCACAGAATAAAGATATCAGCTGGCAGCTACAAAGTGTTAAATCATCAATCATGATAAAAGCTACGACCGTCAAAGTCATTGTGGCTGCACGTAGCTCATACACAGTAGATGCAATCTGAATACAATGTGTGCTGATATTAGAACACTATAAAATTATTTTAATATTTTTTTCCCCAATTAAGCTGTCATTCATAAAAACAATATGAAAGTATTTTGTAAAATTTCACTTTAGCTTCATAAGATAAGCTTAATAAATTTTATTCTTAAAGACGATGGCATAATATTTGTCTCCTTTTTTTAAACACATTTTTTTTGCCATATTGAAGTATTTATGTGTTTATTTGACATTTAATGATGATATTAGTTGTATAGACTATATGTTATATTCCTAGATGTTGTTATAAAGTTTATTTAGGCGGCTGTGTGCATGATCCTAGGATAGAGAGGAGAAACATTAAAAACCATTAGAAGATTTCTGATGGTTTCTAATGGGAGGGGAACAAATAAAAACCATCATAACCCATTAAATACTTAACATTATAGTCTGTATTGACTTCTGTATACAAACGATTACAGACATTTAAAAAGTCACAGCTACAGGCACAAAAATAAACTACTGTTCTAGCATGCCTATAATAAACAGACACTTCTTTACACTTGGTTTGCTGCTAAAAACAGATTATGATACTAAAATGCAGCTCAAAGTAGGGGAAAAAATCAGATTAATCCCTTTAAATTCCTTTTGCAGATTATTCCAAGTGGTTGCTGGAGCAGAACACATGAAGGCTGTCTTCCTCTGTCCTTAAACTAGGGACACACCGAATATACAATATGTGATCTGAGATCATCATTGAAAAATAAACTCCTACAGCAGTGATGGGCGAAGTGTTCAGAGCTTTACGTGAGTAATAGTTGTACTACAGTGTAAAAATATTCAGTTACAAAGTTAAAGTCCTGCATTCAAAATCTTACTTACTTAAGTATTAGCTTTAAAATGGACTGATATCAGACAGAACTGTCAACTCTATTCCCATCATTTCATCTTCAGCTTGAACTTGAACTCAGTGGAGTGGGCAGATTCAAAGGTCTGGACCCAGGCGAGCTTCTTGTGCCTCTGTGGTGTTCTAATCTCTTGTTCTTGTTAAAGTTAAGGCATAAAAATGTCTACTCAGCTTCATTGTGGCTCTCTGCAACCTCTTTCACAAAATAAAGATATCAGCTGGCGGCTACAAAACATTCAATCAGTGAAAAAGCTATGAACATCAAAGTCATCACTTAATCTTTAGACTCAGTAGAGTGGGCGGATTCAAAGGTGTGGTCCCAGGCAAGCTTTTGAATATTAATAAAGTAACAAAATTAAAAGTACTTATTATGCAAAATGACCCATTTCAGAAGCATAAATTGAATTATAATTATTGATACATGCATGTTTCATCACTTTCATGTTGCAGCTGTTAAAGGTGGAGGTAATTTAAATTGCTCAATACGCTGGGTGGCTTAACCTAGGTATATTATAATACATTATAATCTAATCAGCTGTTGTTCACTCTCCTAGTTATAAAATCAAACTTTGCCACGATCTCTCTCAGCCATCATATCCAGAGTCCTTCTTATCTTCACCGCCTCTGCCACCACCAGCGTCTAGACCCCAAGGGGTCCCCATTTGACTACGGATTCATCACCCACCTTAAAGCATACCATCTCTAGGGGCCAAAGAGTTTCTCATGTTTTCAGCTAATATATATCCTTTTCACTATAAAAAATGAGTCTCTCCTGACTGAAATGTAGTGGAGTAGAAGTAGTAGCAACATAAAATGGAAATGCTGATGTACAACTGCCTCAAAATTGTACTACTTCCCACCACTGTCACGCAGATGCTTCATAGATAAAGCTATGACTCAGTGTTGTATACATGAACACATATACAATGTATAGAGTATTCAATTATGAAGCCCACTGGGAAAATACCCTCTTCTGAATTCACTCTAAACTTCCTGAAGTAAAGTTCCACCCAAACATGCTGTCACAAAAAAACCCAGATGTTTGCACCATCAGCCTTGATGTTATAAGCAGTCTCTTCACCTAATGAACTCGCTCTTGGAGTCTCTTTGACCTCCCATGTTCCCTGGCTGACCGAGCCTCCTGACTCCTGACTGCTTTATGACCTTGATGTCAGGGTTCACAGCAGGGCCACATCACGGAGCAGCCTGCCTGACTGCCTGCTGACTCTCTTTAGCGGTGCTTTGGGATTTGAGGAATGGGAAGTGCAGAGTCCCTGGACAGGATGTAGAGTCACTGCTGTAAGTTATAGCGCTCAGCCCCCCAGACTGACACAGAGCTGGCTGGCGGCTGCACGAGTCCGCATCTGGAGAAGATAAGAGGAGCATTTTGAACATCTGGACGCTGTCGCCGTCTATTTCCTGGTGACACGAGCCCGTTCATACGCGCGAGTAGATCTAACCCGGTAAGTCGGCTTAGTTTGTTTCACTTTTACTAAGCTTGTGTGTCGCTTCTTACTCTATAAGATAGTCCCGCGGAAGCATTTATGATTTTCTTTTTTTTTTTTAATTGTGGTAGATGTTTTCCATAAGCACCGCTGCTTTTTACATTTTGAAATTGACTGTATCTAAAGCATGAAGCTGTGCTGCAGCTGCTGAATCTTTTGTTCTGCGCAGACAGCCCAGGGGGGAGATGTGAACTTAATAACAGGGTGCTCTTACCCCTGTGTTGTTCTGCCTGCCCAGACATGCACTGTATAGCTGCTGGGACTGCTGCACACAATTCATACCACACTCATTCACCTTTATTGTCTCATGCTCTAAAGTTCCACCCAAAGTTCAGGTCATTTTCTGCATTATTAAACACTCTGAGCTGTTTGTCTTTGGCCTGCTGTCTCCTCCTCTCCTCACAGATCCAGGTGATGACTCACCTCAGGACTCTCCTCTCAGCCCTGCTGCTGGTTTTGTCTGTGTCCGAGCCTCTGAACAGCCCTGAGGAAAATGAAGTCCTGAAACACACAGAGGAGGAGCTGGCCAAGAGCCAGGCCAGTGACCAAGAAAATCCTCCACACTTGGAGATGAAAGTGTTTTGTTTTCCATGTTGGAAATGTCCTTGTTGGATGATGTGCATGGATTAAACAGTTGGTTTCTCCTGTTTTAGAGTGAGGTGACCGAAAATGCCATTGGAAATCTCAGTGAAACTACACAGACCCATGCACCTACCACAGGTGAGGATTTTGGCTGATGCTGAGTTCTGTTTTGCCCTTCACTTTCTCCTAATGTTACCCTTTTTGTGTCTTTTTTTTACAGCAGCAGCTTCTTTGACTACCACAGGTGAGGATACTGGCTGTTGCATTGTTCTCTTCTGCCCTTCTCTTTCTCCTAAAATTACCTTCTCTGTCTTTTTTTTTTTTTTAACAGCAGCAGCTCTCTTGACTACTACAGGTAAGGATTTTGGTTTCTTGCTGCACTCTCTTTTGCCCTTCAGTTTCTCCCAAAATTACCTTTATTGTCTTTTTTTTTTTTTTACAGCAGCAGCTCCTTTGACTACCACAGGTGAGGATACTGGCTGTTGCTTTGGTCTCTTTAGCCCTTCAGATTTCTCCTAAAATTACCCCTTTTGTCTCTTTTACAGCAGCAGCTCCCTCGACTACCACAGGTGAGGATACTGGCTGTTGCATTGTTCTCTTTTGCCCTTCAGTTTCTCTCAAAATTACCCTCTTTGTCTCTTTTACAGCAGCAGCTCCCTTGACCACCACAGTCTCCCCGAGCCCCAGTCTTCCTCCCCAGTGTCCAGGAAACCAGGTGTTGCTGGAGAACAGCACAGGCTGTGGCTGTCCATCTGGACTGGTAAAGGATGGTGACAACTGTGCCTGCCCTGTGGGCTTCAGTCTGGAGGGGGCTGCAGGGTGTAAAGGTGAGGAGGGACAGAAGCAGCGACAGTACCAGGTGTTTAACTGACGGTGCCGTGTGTTACACTGGAACATCAATAAATCAGTACTGAGTTCAGTTTGGGAAATAAGTGTAATTAAACAAATGATGCAGTTGGTGATAAGAATGGTGGGCAGTGTCTACTCTGCATTTTTAAACTATTTACAGCTAGTTTTTTGCAGGAATTCAGCAATAACACACAGCCAAACAAAACACAACATCATGTAAATATTCTGAACTGTATAGTACATTTTGTGGAAAAGACCCACTCGATGTCCACTGGACGTGTTATAAACATGGGCAGACTATGAGATAATGGGCCCCATCACCTCTTCTACACAGGAGCAAAATACAAAGACTTTGTGGTGATTTTGCTGCTTTTCTGTAGTTGCTTCATTTCTCTTTGAGATAACTTTTTGTCTCTGATGTAATTGTGTATTTTTTGGTTGTTTTGTGTCTCTTTGTAGTAATTTTGTTTCTCTGTCTAGTTGTTTTGTGTCTCTTTCTGATTGTTTGGCATCTCTTTGTAGTTGTTTTGTGTCTCTTTGAGGTGATTTTATTGCTTTTTGGGGTAATTTAGTGTCTCTTTGTGGCAATTTTGTGTCTCTGTCTAGTTGTTTTGCATTTCTTTTTAGTAGTTTTGTGTCTCTTTGAGGTAATTTTGTGTCTCTGCATAGTTGTTTTGTGTTTCTGCATAGTTTTATATTTCTTTGTAGTTGTTTTGTGTCTCTTTGTGATTGCTTTGTGTCTCTTTATAGTTGTTTTGTGTCTCTTTGTAGTTGTCTTGTGTCTCTTTATAGTTGTTTTGTGTCCCTTTGAGGTTGTTTTGTGTCTCTTTGTGGTATTTTTTTGTCTCTTCATAGTTGTTTTGTGTCTCTTTCTAGTTGTTTTGTGTCTCTTCATAGTTGTTTTGTGTCTCTTTGAGGTAATTTGGTGTCTCTTTGTGGTATTTTTTTTGTCTCTTTCTAGTTGTTTTGCGTCTCTTTATAGTTGTTTTGTGTCTCTTTGTGATTGTTTTGTGTCTCTTTGTAGTTGTCTTGTGTCTCTTTATAGTTATTTTGTGTCTCTTTGTGATTGCTTTGTGTCTCTTCTAGTTGTTTTGTGTCTCTTTGAGGTTGTTTTGTGTCTCTTTGTGGTATTTTTTTGTCTCTTCATAGTTGTTTTGTGTCTCTTTCTAGTTGTTTTGTGTCTCTTTGAGGTAATTTGGTGTCTCTTTGTGGTATTTTTTTGTCTCTTTCTAGTTGTTTTG